AATTCCTACCACATACTTCACATTCGAATGGCCGCCCGTTTTCATGCGTCAATATGTGCATCTTCAGATTTTGGGATACTTTGAATGTTTTATTGCACATGTGACATTTAAATGGTCGTTCGTTTCCGTGCATCGATATGTGTTTCTTCAGACTCCCGGATCCTTTGAATATTTTTTTGCACATGTAGCACTCGAATGGTCGTTCGTTTCCGTGCGTCAATTGGTGTTCCTTTAGATTGCCGGACGATTTGAATGCTTTATTGCACACATAACATTTGAATGGCCGTTCGTTTCCGTGGGTCAAATTGTGTTTCTTCAGATTACCGGACCATTTGAATGTTTTATTGCATATCTCACATTTGTAATTTTTTTCATCGATATGTATCATCTTATGGTTCCTCAGAGTAGCTGAAAGTCCGAATAGCACACCGCATACCTTACATTGGTACCGTTTTTTGTTTATTTCACTGTTATTAGCCACAGTCTTTATTTTGTCCTTATTCTCTATTCCTTCTTGTATTGGCTGATCGTTTGATACCTGAAATAAACCAAAATCATTGGGTTATTGTTGGCATATTGTTTTTCTGTGATTTTTGAATAGTATTAATCACAAGTGTTGTGCAGATACCATTGTAGAATCTTTGAATGGCAATAAGTTACTTCCACATTTTAAAAATAGCTCGGTGAATTGCAACAATAATTTGAAAAAAGTATCGGTTGTATTATATTGTGCTGCTAATTTGAGACAGAATGATTAGCAGACCAATCGATGTGACGAAAATGATTCGGTGATCCAATGCACAAAGTTTAGAATTTTATTTTAATTTTTACCATAGAGTATGATCACATAACATCGATTGTTTAGAAGTGACAGGGAAATAGGAAAGATCACAAGGAGTAGCTATTTTTGTCCTTACTTAAAGTAAAAAACTTTGTGAATATTTAATTTCAATACTGAAAGGTAATATCTTATTCACATACCGTTATTTGCGAGACGTACAACGGCAAAACAGACAATGCGAAATAGTATGACAGATGCATGATCGAGGAATCGAGAAGGGGTGTGGAAATCGTTGAAGTCTTTTCGAAAAATATTTTTAGCAAACAACCAATCTAATGAAGTGATATTTGTCGTATAAACTGAGAGGACCGTTTTTATGCATTCCGGTAGGCCGTATGATCTATGACCAAATATAATCACAAAGCTCCAGTCTTTTCGCATAATAATTTTCACTCCACTCTAAAATTTTTTGTTAGTTACGCTGGATAATAATAGTTTCATGCAAATGTGATTATAACTGGCAGCATTGTTCAGAATTGTCACCAAATCTCTTCAACCTCCGATAGAATGAAATCATTCGAAGAATATTTACAATAACTAGTTTGAAATTATTAACATTCAAATATTTGCTGCCAGAATTTTCAAGCATTAATCAGATAAATCTTCAACGCCAACAGATTTCAAAGGCTTTAACTGTAATCGATCTTTTAATTTCTATTATCATTGATTTCGATGATATCTGATATCGATAGGGATACTACGTAGGTAAATTATATAGTTAAGCAATTTTAATAAATAATTTGTTAATTTCAAAATGGTTTGTTGGAAGCCTTGAAAATCTGCTGGCGTTGAAGATTTATACGAATAATACTTGTAGATTCCGGAAAATTGTTTTAAATTTATCATTTATTCAATTTATACTACAGAGACTCATAAATACGTTAAATTATCTCAAATGCTAAGCTAATCCTTTGTTCATTTTGCTTCCTTTATGTCTAAAGGATATATAATACGGTGCTTTGTTCGTCACTAATTACAATTGTTAACTATCCTTTGCTAACAAAACACTTTTTGTCTCCATGGCTCTTGCCACGATTGCGGAATTTTAAAAGAGATATATGATCGTTGCCAAATACCATCACAACAACGTTATTCATTTTGCTGTGAATAGTACTGACCATGTACGGGCCATTCTGAAAGCAATATATAGCTGCTTAATTTTTCTAATTAACACGGTCAGCTTTAGTCTACCTAAAAGCTATAAAATTTGATGGAACGGTACTTCATAGCGCAGTCCCAACTATCACGGATGTACGGCAAAGGATAATAACCACGAGGTCAACTTAGTTACGATAATGCCAATAATTATATTATAATGTCACGAATAAAAGCTTTATTAATCGATATCGAAAGTATTAAGCTACTACAACAGAAACAACCATTCAAAGATTCCGTTCATTTGCAGTCTCATTGTGACACGCTGTTTAATATGCTTGCCAATCGCGGTTGTACAATGTGTTTTGTTACTTTCACTTGTTTATATATTTCTCGAATTTTAATTTTAGTGAGGCGGAAAAATATTGTTGCTTTCTTGATGCTAACAGCCAATGTTCAAATTTTAAAAATTTTATGTACAATTTCATCAATCACTTTTAACATTCAATCGAGGAATAGCGGGCAAAGAACAAATGGCAATAATACAGTACCAATATAACTTAAGCCAACACAATACAATTATTTATAGTCTTGCGAATGTAATTATATCCCTTATTGATATTGCTGTGTCAATGATATCTGATATCGATATTTTTAAGGAGCTTTCTGTAGAATATAGCTTTTCACCCGAACTTTTATGCACTTTCATGTGTCTATTCAAATTACTTTTCCGAGTGAATTTCCTACCACATACTTCACATTTGAATAATGGTCGTGTGTTTCCGTGCGTCAATTGATGTCTCTTCAGACTGTCAGACGATCCGAATGTTTTATTGCACACGTGACACTGGAATGGTCGTACGTTTCCGTGCGTCAAACTGTGCATCTTCAAATCGTCGGACAATCTGAAAGTTTTATTGCACACGTGGCATTTGAATGATCGCGCATTTCCGTGCATCAATTCGTGTCTTTTCAGATTTGAATTCTGATTGAATGCTCTATCGCATACTTTACATTTGAATGGTCGTTCATTTCCGTGCGTCAATTCGTGCCTCTTCAGATTTGAATTCTGATTGAATGCTCTATCGCATACTTCACATTTGAATGGTCGTTCGTTTTCGTGCGTTAATTTGTGTTTCTTCAGATTTGAATGCTGATTGAATGCTTTATCGCATACTTCACATTTGAATGGTCGTTCGTTTCCGTGCGTCAATTGGTGTCTCCTCAGATCGTCGGACCTTTTGAACGCTTTATTGCATACCTTATACATGTAGTCTTTTTCATCGGTATGTATCACCTTATGGCGTTTCACATTGCCTGAACATCCGAATTGCTTATCGCATACTTCACATTTATACCGTTTTTCGTTTGCTTTACTGTCACTTGCCATAGCCTCAATTCCGGCGTCATTTTTTATTGCTGCTTGCATTGCCTCATCGCCTTCATTTGATACCTCAAATAACCCAAAATAATTTTTTAACATATTTGATAATTATTTTCCTGAGAGTTTTGAACAGCGGTAATCAGAAGCATTGTGCAGATATCATCGTAGAATCTTTGAATGGCAACAATTCACTTTTATATTTTAAAAATAGCTCTGTGAATTGTAATAATAATTTGGAAAAGTATCAGTTGTGCGATATTGTGACTGTTGATGATTTGACGTTTCAATGCATAAGCTTTTTGTGTTTCGCTTTCGGTATTTGCACTGGAAATGATCGCAAAATAGCGGCGAGTATTTGGAAGTAATAGAGAAATAGATATGAATTTTTGCTTCATACGAAGCAGCTATTTTTGTTCATTGCTAAGATTAAAATTTTGTGAATATTTAATTTCTATACTGAAAGGCAATGACTTATTCACATACCGTTATTTGCGCGACGTACAGCGGCAAAACAAGCACTGTCAAATAATGTGACAGATACATGATCGAAAAGTGGCAGAATGAGGAATTCGGCGAGCTCTTTTTAGAGAAATATTTTTAGCAGGAACCAATCTAATGAAGTGATATTTGTCGTATTAACTGAGAAAACCGTTTTTATGCATTCCGGTAATCTGTATGATGTATACCCATGTATAATCACAAAGCTTTAGTCCTTTCGCAAAATAATTTTAACTCCACTGCACTTTAAAATTTTTTGTTAATAACACTGAATAATAATAGTTTTATGCAAATATGGTCGTAACTGGCAGCATTGTTCAGAATTGTCACCAAATCACTTCAACTCCGAATAGAATGAAATTATTCGAAGAGAATCACAATAATCTTATGTTTAATCATCACCAAACAACGATAAGGCACTGCTAATAAAAAGTATTTTAGGTTTGAAATCATTTGATATTATTAAAATTCAAATAAGTTAATATCAAAATTTTTAAGTATTCTTTACACAATTCATCAGCACGAGCAAACTGATTTCCAAGGTGTTCAATAATCCAAATGTTACTGATTAAATGATTTCTATAGTCATTGATTTCATACGACCGAGGCAAAACCTGAAAACTTATATTAAAAAGATTGTTTTAAATATTTTACTTTTATTAATTTATCATTTTTTTTTTACATCATAGATGTACTAATTTACATAATATATTGCTTTTAGATTAACTAAGGCTTTATGAATTTCAGCAATGAAATATTTGATTACAGTCTGTTTCATATTTTTGCGCATTCAAACGATTCGCTTCCTTCGTTCTCTGATTTTATTATTTATCACATTTCTAAAATCAAGCGGATAAGAAGTGATAAAAATTTAACCAACAAATGAAAGATAAACTTTTATCACAAATTATGGGCAAACCGATTTTCTATCAATATTTAATTTACCAAAATCAAAATTCTTATTCCTAAATCTCTCAAGTCAAGCTATAAAAATGAATGGTATGCGTTGATGCAAAATTTCCTTCCATTCATTATGTATGTTCAAATGTTTAAGTGAATATTACCGTTGATTCAATGAACATTCGTTGATTCAATCATTTCCATTTTCGATTACATAAAATTTTTATGTCTAATTTTAAATGATGCTGAAAAAACAAGAAAAACGGAGCAGAAAACAAATTATAATATCACTTCATTAGATTAGATATATCATTATCATTAGATTAGATATAATAGATATAGATTAGATATATCATTATCGCATTTCATTAGACAAATATCACTTCATTAGATTGTTGTCTGCAAAGAATATTTTTCGAAAAGAATTCGACTATTTCTACATCCCTTCTCGATTCATCGATCATGTATCTGTCATACCATTTCGCTTTGCTTGTTTTGCCGTTTATACGTCTCGAAAATAACGGTATGTGAATAAGATATTGTTTTTCAGTATAAAAAATAAATATTTGCAAAATTTTAATCTTAGCTAAGAACAAAAATAGCCGCTTCTGATGAATTCTGATGAAAAAATTTCTCGTGTGCAATGAAAAATTGTAAAAATCCAGGAATCTGAAAAGACATGTATTGATGGAGAGACACATATCTGGAGAGACACATATTGAGAGACACATAACGAGCGACCATTTTAATATGAAATATGTGGTAGGAAATTCGCTCAGAAAGGTTATTGGAATAGACACATGAAAGTGCATAGAAGTTCGGATGGAAAATTATATTCGACAGCAAACTCCTTAATGATATCGATAGCAGATATCATTGACACAGAAATAATTAGATTCTTTGACCTCTTTGTTTGTGTAATTTTTGAGCAAATCAACATTGATAGTAAAACTGATTTTGATAAATTTTTCATAGCAAACAAATTCTGTTCAATAACATATGAAAAATGCTATTTGTCATTGAAGTAGTGAAATATAGCTAAAATAGACAAATTCAAAATTAAAAAAATATAAAATATAGAATGTTTAAATAAGATTTGAAATATAATACAGAAAATATAATATACAGCTAATTATTAATGTAATGGTAATGGATTTAAAGATCACACGGAAGTAAAACCATTTGAACATGACAGAAAATTCGTGCAGTTTCCAGGCTTTGTCTCGGTCGTACGAAATCAATGATTATCGAAATCATTTAATCAATAACATTTGGGTTATTGAATACCTTGGAAATCAGTTTGCTCGTGCTGATGATTTGTATAAAAAATATTTTAAAATTATGATAGCAATTTATTTGTATTTTAATAATATCAAATGGTTTCAAACTTAAAATTTTTTATTAGCAATACTTCATCGTTCTTAGTGAAATTATATGTATTGTTCTTTTTATCATTTCTCTTCTTTCAACATTGTTAAAATTTCCAAGAAAAATATCGTGAAGATGAGCTTTCAGCAGAGCAACCTGTAAGAGCTTATCCTGTAACTGGCAGTGAGAAAATGAAATGAAGGAATGGTCAGTTATTACCAATGCAAAGATCGTAAGAAATTGCGGTAATCGATTAGGCAAAATTGATAATAAAAAGAATATTGGCAAAGTGGATCTAAATAATTTATGAAAATTTACATGAAAAATGATTTCATCCAATTTTATCAATCACTTTTTACGTTCAATCAGGATATAATGGACAAAGCATAAATGGCAAAAAAATAGTTCAAATTTAATTTAAGCCAACACAATACAATAATTTATAGTCCTGCGAATGTAATTATTCCCCTTATTGATATTTCTGTGTCAATGATATCTGATATCGATATCGTTAAGGAGCTTGCTGTAGAATATTGCTCTTCATCCGAACCTTTATGCGCTATCATGTGATTTTTCAAATTATATTTTTGAGTGAATTTTCTATCACACACTTCACATTCGAATAACCGCACGTTTCCATGCGTCAATTTGTGTTTCTTCAGATTGCTGAAGTCTTTGAATGTTTTATTGCACACGTGACATTTGAATGGTCGTTCGTTTCCGTGTGTCAATTTGTGTCTCAGCAGATTTGAGCAGTATCTGAATGCATTACCACATACATTGCATTTCAGCATCTTTTTAATGTCCGTATGTGTTTTCAAATGTTCTTTCAGATAGCGGCGCTGTTTGAAAGCTTTATCGCACATAGCACATTTGAATGGTCGTTCATTTCCGTGCGTCAATTTGTGTTTCTTCAAATCGCCAGATCGTTTGAATGTTTTATTGCAAATGTGACATATGAATGGTCGTTCGCTTCCATGCCTCACTTGGTGCATTTTCAGTTCGCCGGACCGTTTGAATGTTTTATTGCACACGTAGCATTCGAATGGTCGTTCGTTTCCGTGCGTCACTTGGTGCATCCTCAGTTCCCCAAACCGTTTGAACGATTTATTGCATACTTCACATTTGTACCGTTTTTCATTTGCTTTCCCGTCATCAGTCACAGTCCTTATTTCGTCATCTCTTGTTACTACTGCTTGTATTGCCTCATCGCCTTCATTTGATACCTGAAATAACTCAAAATGATTTGTTAATATATTTTGATTATTATTTTCCTGTGAATTTTGAGCACCAAAATCACAGGCATTGTGCAGATATCACTGTACAATCTTTGAATGGCAACAATTCACTTCTATATTTTAAAAATAGCACGGTGAATTGTAATAATAAATTGAAAATAAATGTCAGTTCTGCTATATAGTGACAGTTGATTTGAGGCAGAAGGATTAACAGATCGATGTAACAAAAATAGTTCGGTGATTCAATTTGCAAACTTTTGCTTCTGATTTTGATTATTGCTATAGGAATTGATCACGGATTAGTTTGACTAATTAGAAGTAACAGGGACCTAGATAAGAAATGAAAATTTTAATTTTCCTGCACAAGAAGCAGTTGTTTTTGTCCTTAATTAAGATTAAAAACTTTGTGAATATTTAATTTCTATACTGAAAGCGATATCTTATTCACATACCGTCACTTGTGCGATGTACAACGGCAACACGAGCAGCACCAAATAATAAGATATAAACATATTCGAGGAGTGGCAGAATGAGGAATGCGTCAAAGTTTTTCCGGAAAATATTTTTAACACACAACCAGCTTAACGAAGTGATATTTGTTGCATCAACTGAGAGGACCGTTTTTATACATTCCAGTAATCCGTATGATGCATGGCCATGTACAGAATTGCAAAGCTTCGGTCTCTTCGCAGAATAATTCTGACTCCACTGCACTTTAAAATTTTTTGTCACTTGCACTGAATAATAATATTTTCATGCAAATGTGATTATAACTGGCAGCATTGTTCAGAATTGTCACCAGATCTCTTCAACACCGAATAGAATGAAATCATTCGAAGAATATTCACAATAACTATTTTGAAATTGTTAACATTCGAAATACTATTATAATTTTCAAGCATTATTCGTATAAATCTTCAACGCCAACAGGTTTTCAAGGCTTTCAGTAAGCCATTGTTTTAAATGTAATCGATCGTTTAATTTCTATTATCATTGATTTTTGAATAACCGAAACAAAAATTGTATACTTTCATTGAAATTGATTGTTTTAAATATTTTGCTTTTATTAATTCATTATTTTCTAACTATTAGTACTATAACGTCATAGAATACTGCTTTTTGATGAAATAAGGCTTTTTAAATTTTGGTAATAAAATATTTCAGTATAATGTATTTCATAATTCAGAATTCAAAATCAAGAAATATAGAATATCGAATGTTTAGATGAGATTTGACATTAAAACATTCTGACAGTTTATCTTTGGTTGTTCGGATGAAGTCGAAACAACAATTGTATAAAATTGTATAATACTATTATAACTTATAATTTATTGCTTATCTTTGAATTTTGATAATCTTCGATACACTTCAATATATACACGTGTGGATATGTTTGATGACAAATTTTCAAAGGATGATTGAAAAGCTCGAAAAATATTCATTAAATGATCAATTTCATACGAATATAAACAAAATGCACAAATGAATGGTAAGGTTACATCAATTGGGATGAATGTAACCTTTAATTAGGTAAATAAAAATTATATTAATCTTATCGAGCTGTCGCAAAATCCTCTTTTAACTGATGTTTATTTCTATTTAAGCAAATAATATTTTCAACGAATTAATTTCTGTTATGTCAATTTTATTCTTATCCGTTTGATTTTAGAAATGTGAAAAATAATAAAATTACAGAAAAAGAAAGCGAATCGTTTGAAGGCGCAAATATATGAAACAGACTGTAATCAAATATTTCATTGCTGAAATTTTAAAAGCCTTAATTCATCTTAAAGCAGTATATTATGTATTTTTTATGACTTAAAAATACGACAAATTAATTAAAGTGAAATATTTAAAACAATCTTTTTAATATAAGGCTTTGCCTCGATCTTACGAAATCAATAGTTATAGAAATCATTTTATCAATAACATTTTGATTATTAAACACCTTGGAAATCAGCTTGCTCGTGCTGATGAATTGTGTAAAGAATACTTAAAAATTTTGATATTAACTTATTTGAATTTTATTTATATCAAATGATTTCAAACCTAAAATACTTTTTATTAGCAGTGCTTTATCGTTGTTTGGTGATGATTAAACATAAGATTATTGTGATTCTCTTCGAATAATTTCATTCTATTCGGAGTTAAAGAGATTTGGTGACAATTCTGAACAATGCTGCCAGTTACAACCATATTTGCACAAAACTATTATTATTCAGTGTTATTAACAAAAAATTTTAAAGTGCAGTGGAGTTAAAATTATTTTGCGAAAGGACTAAAGCTTTGTGATTATATATGGGTATACCATACAGATTACCGGAATGCATAAAAACGGTTTTCTCAGTTAATACGACAAATATCACTTCATTAGATTGGTTGTCTGCAAAAATATTTTTCGAAAAGAATTCGACTATTTCCACATCTCATTACTTCGCGATCATGTATCTGTCATATTATTTGGTACTGCTTGTGTTGCCGTTGCATGCCGCGCAAATAACGGTATGTGAATAAGATATAAATATTTGCAAAATTTTAGTCTCAGTTAAAGAAAAAAATAAAATTGAATTTTTCATATCTATTCCTCTATTACTTCTAAACACTCAATGTTTTGCGGTCATTTCCTGCGCAAATACCAAAAGCGAAACCAAAAATTTTGTGCATTAAATCGCCGAATCATTTTTGTTATATCGGTCTGTTAATCGTTCTGTCTCAAATCAACTGTCACAATATAACACAACTGATACTTTTTTCAAATTACTGTTGCAATTCGTCGAGCTGTAGAAGTAAATTGTGCCACTCAAGAATTCTACAATGATATCTGCATAATGCCTTTGACTTTGGTGATCAGAAACGTAGGGTAACAAACACCTATAACAAACAAATCATTTTGGGTTATTTCAGATATCAAATGATGGCGATGAGGCAATAGAAGCAGCAATAAGAAATGACGAAGAAATAAAGATTATGGTTAATGACAGTAAAACAAACGAAAAACAGTACAAATGTCAGGTATGCGATAAGCAATTTGAATGTTCAAGTATTTTGAAGAGCCATAAGGTGAGACATACCGACGAAAGAAATTACGTATGCAAGGTATGCAATAAAGGGTTCAAAAGATCCCACAATCTGAAGAACCACCATTTGACGCATGCAAACGAGCGATCATTCAAATGTTACGTGTGCAATAAAACATTCAAACGGTCGAACGAACTGAAGAAACACCAATTGACGCACGGAAACAAGCGAGCATTCAAATGTTACGTGTGCAATGAAACATTCAAACGGTGCATCGAGCTGAGAAAACATCAAGTGACACACGGAAACGAACGACTGTTCGAATGTTACGTGTGCAATAAAACATTCAAAGAATTCAGCAATCTGAAGAGACATAAATTGACGCATGGAAACGTGCGGCAATTCAAATGTGAAGCATGTGGTAGGAATTTCACTAATAAAAGTAATTTAAACAGACACATGAAAGTGCATGAAAATTCGGATGAAAAGCTAACAGTAAGCTCCTTAATGATAGCTGATATCATTGAAACAGAAATATCAAAAAAATTCGAAATTCAAAATTTCACATGCAACTTTATCAATCATATTTGACATTCAATCGGGAAATAGTGAACAAAGCAAACGGCAAATAAAAATTAGTACAAATATAACTTAAGTCAATACAATGCTATAATTTAAAATTTTGCAAATCCGATTATTACCTTTACAAATATTTCTGTATCAATGATATCATCTGCTATCGATATCATTAAGGAGCTTACTGTAGAATATAGCTTTTCATCCGAACTTTTATGCACTTTCATGTGTCTATTCAAATCACCTTTCTGAGTGAAATTCCTACCACATATTTCACATTTGTATGGTCGTTCATTTTCGTGCGTCAATTTGTGTCTCTTTAGTTTGTTGAACTCCATGAATGTTTTATTGCACACGTGACATTTGTATGGTCGTTCGTTTCTGTGCGTCAATTTGTGTCTCTTCAGATTAATAGATTCTTTGAATGTTTCATTACACACGTGACATTTGAATGGTCGTTCGTTTTCGTGCGTCGATTGGTGTCTCTTCAGAACACTGGAGTATTTGAATGTTTTATTGCACACGTGACATTTGAATGGTCGTTCCTTTCGGTGCGTCACTTGGTGCATCTTCAGTTCGCCGGCCCGTTTGAATGCTTTATTGCATATCTCACATTCGTAATTTTTTTCATCGATATGTACCATCTTATGGCTCATCAAAGTATATGAACGTCGGAATAGCACACCGCATATCTTACATTGGTATCGTTTTCTGTTTGCTTCACTGTTATTAGCCACAGTCTTTATTTTGTCCTTATTCTCTATCCCTTCTTGTATTCGCTGATCGTTTGATACCTAAAATAACCCAAAATCATTGGTTTATAGTTGGCTTATTGTTTTCCTGTGATTTACAACAGTAATAATCCGAGGTATTATGCAGATATCACTGTAGAATCTTTGAATAGCAATAAGTTACTTCTACATTTTAAAAATAGTTCTCAGTTGTGCTATATTGTGACAGTTGATTTGAGATAGAAGGATTAATAAATCGATGTAACAAAAATAGTTCAGTGATTCAATTTGCAAACTTTTGCTTCTGATTTTGATTATTGCTATAGGAATTGAACACGGATTAATTCGACTAATTAGAGATAACAGTGAAATAGATAAGAAATGAAAAATTTAATTTTCCTTCACAGAAAGCAGCTGTTTTTGTCCTTAGCTGAGATTAAAAACTTTGTGAATATTTAGTTTCTAAACTGAAAGCCAATATATTATTCACATACCGTTATTTGCGCGACGTATAACGGCAGAGTAAGCAATACGAAATAGTATGACAGATACATGGTCGAGAATGACGAGATGTGGAAGCAATCGAATTCTTTTCGAAAAATATTTTTAGCAGGCAACCAATCTAATGAAGTGATATTTGTCGTATTAACTGAGAGGACCGCTTTTATGCATTCCGGTAAGCCGTATGATCTATGACCAAATATAATCATAAAACCTCAGTCTTTTCGCATATTAATTTTCACTCCACTCTAAAATTTTTTGTTAGTTGCAGTGAATAATGATAGTTTTATGCAAATGTGATTATAACTGGCAGCATTGTTCAGAAATGTCGCCAAATCTCTTCAACGCCGAATAGAATGAAATCATTCGAAGAATATTCACAATAACTATTTTGAAATTGTTAACATTCGAAATACTATTATAATTTTCAAGCATTATTCGTATAAATCTTCAACGCCAACAGGTTTTCAAGACTTTCAGTAAGCCATTTTTTTTTAATGCAATCGATATTTTAATTTCTATTATCATTGCTTTTTGATTGACCCAAAACGAAAACTGTACACTTTAATTGAAATTGATTGTTTTAAATATTTTGCTTTAATTAATTCATTATTTTTTAACTATTAATACTATAACGTCATAGAATACTGCTTTTTGATGAAATAAGGCTTTTTAAATTTCGGCAATAAAACATTACAGTATAATATGTTTCATAATTCAGAATTCAAAATCAAAAACATGAAATATCTTATGTTCAGACGAGGTTTGAAATATAATACATAAAATATAACATATAGCAAAATTGAAAAAAGAATATATAAAGCATAAAATACAGTAATTAATACAGAATGAAAAGTTGTGAAAAGTGGTAAAATATACAGCTGCAGCTAAATTTAAAGGTAAAATAGTGATGCATGATCCGATGGCGATGCGACCTTTTGTAGGTTATAATTTTGGGAATTATCTTCAACATCGGCTGAATCTCAATAATGGCACTCATAAGGTTGTCATTAAAAATGTTTAATATTGTAAATTTTTTTACTGTATTAGTACTAAAGCTTTTATTCTGTCAGGACTCCATTAATAATTAAGCATTTATATGTTGTTTTCAAGATGGCCGGTATTTAGAACTATTCGCAGTAAAACGGACAGCCATGGTTATAGGAAAGTGATATTAAGAGATCACTTGATAGCAAACAAAGAATCGTTTCAACATAGATAGACAAAACGATGGTAACCGAGCGATCATACAGCCCTTTTAACATTGTGTAATCATACCAAGAGCCATGAAGACAAAGAACGTCCTGTGATCAAAGAGTATCTACCATTTGCATGTAATGGCGAGCAAAGCACCTTATATCCTTTTGACATAAAGCAAGCAAAATAAACAAAGGATTTGAGACAATTCGACTCATTTATGGGTAATCCGTATAGCCTGAATTGAAAAACGAAAAAATTTAGAACAATTTTCTGGAATATAAAGTATTTCGAGTAATTCTTTTATAAGGTTATCTTGGATTTCTGACGTTTAAAGCATATAGAAAAATCCGAAAGTATTATTACAATAGAAGCTAACCTGAATTAACATGACCATTTTTCTGTGGATTTCTAAGTTTCGCGAGTTCGGAACATTAAAAATGGAATGTATGCATAAAACAGGATCTATATGATTTATCATTCCTATTTATCACTTTTTTATTGAGCTGAACTCTGGAAATTATTGTATGATTCTGGTTTATCATGATCTAATATGCCATCCTTCAGATCTAGTACAATTCCCGTAAGAATCCAAATATCTCAGGATCCAAATAACATAATAACAAATAAGTAATAACATAATAACAATATAATAATAACATAATAACAATATAATAACATAATAACAAATAATAACAAATAACAAATAAGAATCCAAATAACATTTAAAGAATCCAAATATCTCAGGAAACACTTATTGACGCATGGAAACGTGCAGCAATTCAAATGAGAAGTATGTGGCAGGAAACTCACTCAGAAAGGTAATTTGAACACATGAAAGTGCATAAAAGTTCGGGTGAAAAGCTATATTCTACATTGAGCTCCTTAATGATATCGATTTGAGATATCATTGACACAGAAGTATTAATAAGAGATGTAATTACATTCGCAGGACTATAAATTATTGTATTTTGTTGGCTTAAGTTATATTTGTACTGTTTCTTTGCCATTTGTTCTATGCCTGTTATTTCTTGATTGAATGTAAAAAGTGATTGATGAAATTGTACATAAAATTTTGAAAATTTGAACATTGGCTGTTAGCATCAAGAAAACAACAATATTTTTCCGTTTCACTAAACAAATTTATAAATTTTTAATTTACCAAAATCAAAATTTTTGCTTTAAATCTACCAATTCAGGTTATAAAAATGAGTGATATTTATAGATGCAAAACTTCTTTAAAATTTAATTAAAATCTTAAAATCTCTAAAATTAAAAATTTAATTATAACCATAAAAATCAGTGGTATTCATTGATGTAAAGTTCCCTTCCATGTCATAACGTACATTGAAATGTTCAGGTGTAGATTTTACCATTTCAGCATTTTTTATAGAAAAATACGCTGGTGACTTTCGATATTTAATTGTTGTTTTACATTTTTGGTGTGAGGAAAAATTGCCGAAAGTACTTTTGCATTGTATTTGTGCCATTTACACCTCTTATTTACACCCAATATTTCCTTTTGGATGCCAAAATTTAATGATGAAAATATAATGTTTTGGATGACAATGAATCTTTAAACAAAAATGAAATCAATTTTTGACAAATGCAATTGATGTTTGCGAATATCCTTTGTTGGCTAACATATTTTGGAATGTGCATTTTATTAGGGAATCACCTTTTTGAAGATCATCCACAGCATCCGTAAGAGTGGTAAATAACACATATTGAACTGTGATCATAACATTGGAAGTGACATTTATTCTTTCCGAAATACAACAAGCAGAAATAATATGTTGTACAAAATTTATGTCTTCTTATAGTTAAATATAAAAAAATTAGAATTATTTTCATTACGAAATTTCTTAATACTTTTCCT